AGATCCCATTACAGACTTCTTACACTTACCAATAGGCAAAGCTCCTTCCAAAATCAGCTGTTCTCTAATGTCCTGATACGGGCCTGCTGCATGTTTCAGTGAATGCTTTTGTCGTTTTGGAGTTCTCGTTCTTCCTTTTTTTGGTTTATATGTATGTATGTATATTTGTGGTGTGTGTGTATGTGTGAAACATTCACAAAGATCAAAAACCTTTGCTTCCACTGCTTTTACTGTCTTTACAGGATCCTACTCATTCCCCTCTCACCTTTTCTAATTGTTTATTCTTTTGATAGCTTTATTGAGGTATAACTGATACACAAAAAATGCACAAATTTAACGTGTATAGTTTGATGGGTTTGGATATCTGTATATACATGTGAAACCATCACCACAATCAAGATAATATCTATCAACTCCAAAAGTTTCCTTGTGCTTTTTTTTTTTTTTTCAATTGGCCATTGATAGCATCTTAAAGTAGGAAAAAACAAATGCCTGGTAGGAGCATATGTGTAAAATCATCAAAAGATGTGTTTAACCTTTCTTAATTACTTCCTGACTTTGCTAAAGTTGCCTTTACTCTAAATTTGGGTGTGACTTGTGTATTCACACACACTTACCTCTATGTACAAACACTACGTACACCACATATACTCTCAAACACTTCTTCACATGAGTTCACACATATACACACCCATTCAGGCACTCTCGTTCACATACACAAAAGCTGCTTACACATGCAGACCTACACATGCCCACAAACACCTACGAATGAACATATACATATAAATGTTATGAAATTTTTATACATCAGTTCATAGGACTATAAATCAAGTATATATTTTTTAATTCAATCCTTGTTCTTTACTGCCTACAAAAGTCAATACAAAAGAATGACTTCAAAATATATTTATAGAATGAATGCAAAAATGAATAATTTACATTTTAGAAAAGTGAATGACGTCTTTGAAAACTACTTCACATATGAGTTAGACAAAAACAAATAGAAAATTTATAAACCAGTAGCTCTATCTAAACTATAGGCCAATCCATCATCTAATCTCTTAGATTATTTAGATGATCAAATTCTTCAACTATTTTTCTTTTAACTAAATAAAATCCCATCAGATAAAATGCTATTTCCTGATTCTGAATTGAATTTTTATGAGATGTACAGAGAAATTTAATCAATGATTATGGTTGGAGATTTAAATCCACTGCTGTTCCTTAATTTGCATAATAAACAAATACCTTTGTGAATTCTCCCTGAAAAGGTAATCACATGCTGTATTTAAAGAGACTTGCATCTTTAGCTTAATTTAACTTAAAAAAGAATCATTTATGTTCTCATTAAATCTGTGCTACAGTCTTACTTCATTGATTTAAGATTCTTTTAAAAATGCACATTAAACTGCCCACACTAGTAATTACTCTAATTTTTAAAAATTCAGTCACAAGTCAATCATTAAGAAGAGATGCAAAGCGTCAGTCCATTAGCAGTTGTTTATAATAGCACATCTCAATTGATTAAACTGTAGATTTTTTTGTAGGTCTTGTTTTATAAATTGAGCTAGTCAAGTAAACATAACATTTGGTAATAGTCCTCATAGCAACTGTCAGAATGACTTATTGTTCTAGCAGTCCTGCATTCCTTCAGAATTAATAATACCTCTGTGCCCTTTATAATACTTATTATTGATGCCATGAAGTTCTCTATATTTAATGAGTAGATGTTTCATTATACTACATAGTTCTGTTGACAGATAAAAAATCTTTCTAATTTGTTTCTCTTTTCCTCTTGATTGAAGGATTGTAAATATGCAATTAGCAGTTGAAGTAGAAGTAAAAGAAGAAAATATCAGCTGTCAAGTATTTCTGTTGAAAGAGACAGGATGCTTTAAGCTAAGGACAGCGTGACAAAAGATAAAAGCATCCTTGCCAATGAGGCTGAAAGTTGCAAAATGTTTAAATATTTGATTTGGTTTTTTTTTCCTTCTACGAAATAACTGTAATCATTGTCTTGTATGGAAAAGAAGTTAATGAAAAGACATATTCTTTTCCTACAGAGCTGACTGAGGTCAAGCTCTCATACTTCTCCAGCAACATGCAGCTTTTGATTTCTATACTTAATTGCTTTTTAGTATTTTTCAATGATGATAGGGTCACAAGCTTCTAAGAGGGAAAGAAAATGGAAAATACAACTACAGGAGTTTATAACTTATAGGAGTGTTATTGGGTCAAAATAACAGTAAATGTTAGCAATTCTTAGTCAATAGTAGCTAGAGTATTTCTTACTCTTTTCAGTTCATCAATGGAATCTCAAAATGGCAAAAAGTTTTCATATTTTGGCATCTCAAGTTATATTTTTCAGTTCTCTATGACTTCTTTTTTGGTCTCATGATTTTGGAAATATTACTATCTTTTGTTTTATAAAGCTAACACTTTTTCAATAGAGCACCAGATACAAAATGATTTATGTGACTTATAAGCAATAAGCACTTCCCCTATTTATGAGGAAAAATCTTCAGATATTTTGGAATGTGCAAATATATCATAGATGCTTGACAATTAGAAATGCAAATAATTCCACTTCTAAATATTGTTTTATTGCAGTTTCTTTATTATTTTATAATATTAGTATAATATATTAAATATAAATAGTTATTGAATAATGTATATATATTTATATCAATATAAATTATTTTATATTATTTTTAAAATTTTTCAGTGGAGCAAATAACTTCCCCCATCTCTTTACTTTGTTTATGATTTATAAAGAATAATCCTTAATTTGGATGGACTCAAATTTTCACTTTTACCCTGTTGAAAAGCAATTTTTTTTTTCTTATTTTGAGGAGACAAGGGAATTCTGCACCACTTCTGTTAACTTTAGAATGTTAGCATTAACACCTAGTATTTGACTGACTTGGAACTTTGTGTGTGCTGTGAGGTGGAGATCCACTTTTACTTTTCTCTGTGTAGTGAGCCATTTTCCCTTGCAGCTTTCCCTTGTGAAAGAACCTCAGTGATTTGTAATGCCAATTATTTTATTTACCAAGTTTGCATGACTAGCTAAGTTTGTACCTGGGCTCTCTATGCTTTTTTATGACTGTTGGCTCATTCACCTTCTTAGACCACATGACTTAATTGCCATGACTTTATTGTAGGTTTTATACTATGGCGGGTGCTTCTCTTCAATTTACTTTTATGTTTATTTAAAAAAAATTACCTTAGATACCCAGATACCCAATTTTCATATGAATTTTAAAGTTAGTATTTTCAAGTTCCCCCCCAAAAATCTTGGTGTGAATTGACTTGAATTTGAGGATTGATTTTGTGGAGGTTAATGGGAACTGATACCTTTGCAATATTAATAATAATATTACCCATTAAGAGTAAGATATTTTCAATATAATTTATTTATATGTTCTATATCATTAGATGGAATTAAAATTCAGTATCCTTCATTCTTCTTAACGTTTAGTTTACATTTTTCTTCTTAAATTTTATTTCTAATTGTTTTTGATAAAATTGAGAAAAACAAGAAAAAGGTGGTCTTCTTTCTGGCCACCTTACTAAGGTTTTCTTTGGTTTTGAGAGTCAAAAACTATCTACGACTGAGGAGTGAATATCAGCTCTAACTAAAAAAATGAGGAGCAGCCTCACCATTAATCTGGATGGGAGGCAACACAGAGATAAAGTCAGCTGCAAAGTTAACAACATGGTATCTACCAAGGTCAAGCCACAGTTGTAAAATGCTGTAAAGAACCTACTTTGAGTGATTGCTGCTTTCTCCCCAGTGGTGTCCCAGATCTGTTTTGCTTGTTTCATTAATTACAAGGACTACCCAATGGCTTAGCCACCTTGATTTAAGACAGCACCCAATTCCTAGTTCATCCCTGCGTTGACTGAAATAAATACGCAGCCTCAAAATTGAGTTATGTTTTATTTGGCGGGAGGGCTCGAGCTGGCATGACAGCCCCTCAGATGGCTCCTAGGGACTGCTCCGAAGAGGTAGGGGAGGAGCTAGGATATATAGGAGCTTTACAACAAAGACCAGGTAGTTGGAACAATGAAAGATTACTTGTTATCTAAAGAAAGCCAGACATCTCAAGTTACAGAATTCAGTGCTTTTCTATGTATGGGAGGAAACAAGCATTTAGGCTCATTGAATTCATTCCTTTGACAAGCAC